AAAATGTGACACAGTTTCACCCAAATCACTGATAACATTGTGTTTTTATCCAGTAACCAGTGAATTTTCACTCTGTGTTGCTAAAAGTTGAAGATTGATTGACGAGGGGATTATAGTATTGGTTGAAAGTGGTTGGTTCATGCTTACGTAAGCGTGCGTCATATTTTGTTTTACCCGAAGAAAAAAATAATTTAGAAGATAAAAATACAGAGAAATTGAGTTTTTTTCTTTGCATTTTTTTCATTACATCTGGACTTTAAAACATTTTCATCTTCACCTTCAATCAGCCAACTTGTTTCCTTTCCAGAGTTGACTGATGACAACATACAGGACGACATCAGCTGCGTGTTGAAGATCTTCACCTATCTTGTGTAAGTTCATTCAACATTTATTGTATGTGATGATTTATGTTGACTTTATCGTTGTTTTGTCCACAACCCAAATATATTCAGTTCACTGTCATATAAGAACTGAAGAACTAAAGAAAAGAAATATTAACTTTTGAGAAATATGAGAATTTGGATACGACGACTTAAAACAACTCACTAACAAAGACCATGCCAGTGAACGTACAGAATTAGAAAGGTTTATTGCACATCATAGTAGATGTGAACCAATGTGTTGTACTGTAGGAGGGATGAATGGATTGGGAAAGGGTTGAGGGATGAAGGGATGGAAGAAAAATGGGTTCATGGACAGGTGGATGAACGGATGGATGGATGGAGTTCTCCAACTCTGATTGAGGGAACCGACTTTTCTTTTCTCTTCTCGAGAGCCCCGGTGGTTCCAGTGGATAAGAGAGAGGGGAAGAAAAAGAAAGGGTTTGGGGGGTAGGGATGTGGAATTCAAGAAGGGAGTGAAGGTTTTGACTGGAAATGAGACCGGTGCAAGGCGTGGTCTTTGTTCCCAAACCTAGTTATAAAACTTCATTTATCAGAATAGTTAGTGAATAATTTAAGGGTTGACAAGTAATCGATTGCAGCTCTAAAGTCTGACAGACTGAGAGAGAGTTTGTTTGCCCTGAGTGGTTCAAATATTTATTTATTCTGAATATTTTCACAGTGACAACGGTTTCGGAGCGCCCCACTTCAAGGCGTTAACACAAATGTAAGTTATATCTCTCTCTGTCTTTGAAAATGGAGTCTTTAAGTTGCATGTGCTGCTTTTTGGTAATCAGCTTTTAAAATGAAATGAATGATGAACAATCCAATATTGACTAATAATTAAAATAAAACAACAACAACATTTGAACGCCTCATTTTGATCTCTTCTGGTCGTTTGCAGGATCAGGCTCATCTACCAGGAAGAGTGCAGGGATGTAAACACCTCTGACTACTTCGCCGATTGCACACTGGAAGGAAGTGCATACTGATTTATCACTATAATAAAGTGAAGCATGTTGCACTTGCGAGTTGAGTTTTTGTGTCTATAATCCAAATTTTTTATCTGCCCTGCAGCATTGTGAGGGAAAAAAACGTCAATAAAGATGATTGAAAGGCTTTAAATGTTTAATGTTTGAATGTATGGTTGAGTCAGCAGGGCCTCGCTATACCTTTGGAGTCGTGTCTTTAAAGTTGGGGAAAAAAACTGAACCGCTTCAAGAACCAAAGATAAATAATTGTCTCATTCTCAGGTAACAAAAACAGATTTTACACTAATCAAAACTTACCTATGAATATTATATTACACTTCTATCAAGAGATCTTCCTAAATGTTACACACTGGACCTTTAAATGATGATAAAATGCTACACGCGACTCCTTTAAAACTGCATTTATTGATTTTTGGAAGAAGAACTCCAAAACAAGCCAACACACAAACAATTGCCTGTTTTACACATCCAGCAGACAGATACAGAGCAACATTATCATCCTATTGCGAGTTTGTGTTTGTGTCCCCCTGATGAGTCCAGCATTGACTCGTCTTTAGCTCTTTGGCTCTTTAGCTGCTAGATGTTCCACTTTCTTCGCCGGCTAGTCTCTTAACTGTGGCTGTTTGTGTTTCATAAAGTTTACCAGAGAGTGGTTGATGAAAACAGCTGAAGTGAGCTTGATGAGAGCACTGAACCATACAGGAAGTGTACTGTAAAACCAAAACTATGAGCTAAAAGAGGCTAAAAAGCTGCAGAGTTGAGTGGCAATTACATAAGTATAATTTACAGACAACAACGTTATAAAAACAGCAAATATTGGACTGATAATGTCTATTTACACTGCAGCATTAATGCTTTATCACACGTAACGGCCACTGGATTTGAGCTCCGGACACAGCTTGGCCTCCAGATCTTCTATCTTAATCGACTCCGTGTCTTTGGAGCTGGAGAGGCTGGCGGCCCGGGTGATCTTGGTGAGCGTTTCCTCGTAGGGCGGGGGCAGGTAGACCATGACGAAGACCCCGTCCGATCCATCAGAGCTGGTGCTGGTGTGGCGCTCTGCGTTCCTGGTGAGGGAGGAGAGGAACTCGGCACTGCTCTCTGCGTCCTGGAGGTCCAGAGCGATGATGCTGGCCAGGCTCAGTTTGCTGCGGGAACACCGGCGGTAGATCAAACCGACCAGGAGAGCCAGCAGGAGGACGGAGACGACCGGGAGGACAACGTAGACCACCAGCTCCGACTTCCTGTCCTCTCCCAGCTCCAACTCATTCCAGTTGTAGCCCTGGAAAACGACAAGGGAGACTTCATTTAATAAGATCAAGTTCTTTGCTGACAACAGATGAAACTTCATCCCTGATGGTCTAAGGCTTCCTGAATCAGGGACACATTTTAAATCACTTTTGAAACATTTCTAAGAGCCTTTTTATTTATTCGAGCGCGCTGTTTAATGTCTCGTATTATATTAGGGTTATTGTTCTTATCATGTATTAGAAATGGCTATTTTATTCAATTAATCTGTAGCTTTTAACTGTTTAAATTATTTGCCCCAGCTGCTTCCAGTTATGTAAGGTGCAATGATAATGTGCTGTATAAATAAAGTTTATTTATTAACAGAGTTTTTAGGAGGGATTATCAACTGGATCCAGAAATCCCAACTGTGAGTCAGTTGTCGTTTTATTGGGAATTTGCATCTCTATGGTCAGAGATGGGAGAAGTATTCAGATCTTTAATCTTTACAGTGTAAGAATACTGTTACAAGTAAAAGTATTCCATTTAAAACCATACTTGAGTAAAGGTACAAAAGTATTAGCATCAAAACATACTTAAACTACCAAAAGTAAAAGAACTCATCAAGCAGAATGGCCCCTTTCTGAATCATACAGCTATATTGGATTATATAAATTATCATCGGGCTTGGGGAGTAACATATTAAATATAACTGAGTTAAAGTCAGGATACAAAAACAAGGTTACTGTAATCCATTACAGTTACAGAAAAAAAAACTTAATCAGATTACAGTTCTTGTCTTTATTTGCATATTTGGTGTTGAGCTAATGGTTCTTAAACTTTTTATTTCCTTTACAACAGCTTCTAATCTACAGCAATGCATCAAATTCTATAAGATTATCATAACATATCTCAACCCGTAAAGGAATAGAGAACAAAAATATATTCCAGCCTATAGCAGGAGAGGACTGACACTGATTTATTACATTAAAAACAAAACAAAAAGGAGCAAAAAACTACGAGTTTTGCACATTGCTTCATCAGATGTGTGTTTAATTGAACAGTTTGAACCCAGAAGTGAAGCACAGCCAAAGACATTCTTTATCAAGTAGCTTTAGTAATTTTAAGTGACACTGACTTTTGAGTTTTATTTCTTTGTTTAGAAAAAAGTAGTAAAAAAAGTTAAAATAACTGCATACTGTGAAAACAAAAAATACCCAGTAAATATTACTACTTAATATTACTGGTAAAAGCTGCTTAATCAAGAATCTTTTTGAACTTTTCATGGAGACTCGTGGTTTCCACTAGACAGGAAAGGCATGAAAATTGTAATCTTTAACTAAAGCTGTTTGAAAAGTACAATATTTACCTCTGAGATGTAGTGAAGTTACATAAAATACAAATAAATTTAAGTACAGCGATAAATAAAAGACTCCTTTAATTTTCCTTTAATTAAAGGTTAATTTCAACCTTTTCAAGATTTTAATATCACACATTCAGCTGTGAGAGCATGAGATCGCTATGGAGACAGTTCATCATTCATCAGGTTGCATCAGTGATTTACAACGAATGCCTAAAACATAATTCTCTCCCATTTCATTCTGCTTTTTATCGCAGATNNTTAAAATGAATGTGCTGCAGATCCAGAGTGAGAATGAGCAGCTGTGACTCTGCCGCTGCTTATTGTGCATTACAAGTGTGTGTTTGATCCAGACAAGAAGGGTGATCCTGCACCCCTTCCAGCTGTGAGAGGACATGTGGCGGTGCTGCTTACATCCACTCAGAGTGTCCCAGATTCCCCCTGCCTCAGTTTTTCTAGCAATTAGTTAATGCTGCCTGGATGAACCAGCAGCACCCTGCAGACTCTGGTCCCCTGCAGCTTTTAATTCTCAATTCGTCTGAGTGTGACTCATCTGCCCTCAGCACAAAGTGTGACTATCCCCAAAAAGTCTGAGACTTTATGAAGCTTAAAGGAGGAAACACAGACAGAAATACCGAGTCCATTTCTCAAGCCTGCTACATTTTACTTTTGGTTTTAGCATTGAGCATTTTTCTCTAATAACTCATAATGTGGCACAATTAAAAAACAGACAATGAACAGTTTTCCTTTGTGCAGTTACAAGAAACTAGAGGCCGATTTAAGTTGATAAATAAAGAAAATATAGAAAAAATAATGCAATAGTATATAAATCTTTAGACTCCAAAATAAAACGAAATAAGAGCAGCTTCATAAATGTGTATTAGGAACATGTGCTAAATGTATCTTTCTGTTATTAATTTGTAATCAATTTGTAATTATTTTATTTTGTAATGTATTTATATATTTACTAATTTATTTAAGATTTATCTGTTTATTATCTACTGAAGCTCAACCCTCTCACAAAAAAATTTTCCACATACCACACAGCCTTTGTAGCCTAATGTCTGAATAACATTGTTGTTTTATTCTAATACACTTCTCGTCTATTTCATCTATACTCGTCTGTACAATTCACCAAAAGTTAACATTAACTGTTAAACTATTCACCTGTAGTGTCTGGACTTAACAGGAAAACATGTAAACAACACAAAGCACAAACATTAAGAAAAACAGCATTAAAAACTTCACCTTTGACTACGTTCCCTCTTTTAAAAACGGTCCTAACTTCAAATGATCCCAGTTAAAATCCATCTTAAAATGTAAAAGTTGGACACTGACAGCAGTATTTTAAATACGCGTCATGGTTGAGCATTACTTTAGGTTGTTTTCGAGACACCAAACTCTCAGATATCAGATATTTGAGGCTGAATTCTGGCAGAATGTGTCTAAATGATGCAGAAGACAAGTTGACTATTTCCATTTGATTTAAGGCTGCAACTGAGAGTGTTTAAACTTTAGCTTCAATGAATCCCTGAAACAAGCATAATTACACTGTGAAGGTGAAAGGGACATGAACTCACAAACACACCTGCTTGTCCTGTGTCGAAGGTGATCCTGTCACCCAGTCGTAGGACCCTCTGCCTGCTGGTCCAAACCTCATCCAGCTGCTCTCCAGTAGCACCCGCATGATGCTGAAGGGATGGACGGATGGACAAATGTGTGTTTGTAGAGTAAATAGATGGTGATCAACTAAAGGATCCAGTTGTTGTTGGCCACAGTGGTGTAAACAGAGCAGAGAACAAGGGAGGGGATGGTCGTTGGTCACGGGAGGGGGGAGGATGGGGAGGGAGGTTGTTGAGAGTTGAGGGTGATTTGGTGCCCAGAGGTGGTTGCCTGATGGGAGGGGCCACGAGTTAAGCAGCTGCTCACATGCTGACACATGCAGCAGAGCAACAGGATTCAGGCCAATGATGGGGATTTAGAGCCATGCAGCTGCCCTATATCATACAGTGTGTGTTAGTGTGTGTTAGTGTGTGTGTTAGTGTGTGTGTGTGTGTGTGTGTGTGTGTGTGTGTTAGTGTGTGTGTATGTGTGTGTGTGTGTGTGTGGAGGGTTTTCTCTCTCTGTAGCCCCTGATGAAGCAAATTTCG